TAAAAGAGGAATGTCAAAAATAATTGCTTGATGTCTCATGAACTCGCCTTTGGTCTCCTCAAGCGTTCAAAAATGATGACAGTATTTTCTTTAGGCTAGTATTTGAAGTTCAATGTTATGTTTAATTTTGCATTTTTTTTTCTTTTTTCCAATTTTATTGAATTTAGGAACGTGACTTACATTTTATGGTTTTATGCTAAATACATATACCATATATGTGTGCTATGTACATATAGAGTCTATGTATAATACTTGAAAACATGTTCTGTTATAATCAAATTTTCGTAATGAAATTATTTTGTTTAAAAAATGTTAAATTAACCAATGTGTGGGGTTTGTTTTCAGAATCTTTTAAGATGTGACACATAAAATTATTTTAAAAGTGCAGGTAAAGCTATTTCTACAATGTCTGTGATGAAAAGCTTTAGTTTATTTGGACAAAGAATATTTATTTTCCTAGAATGTTTATAACATACATTGTATCTTTTAACAGACTGTTGAATATTTATCGACGTTTGAATGTTATTAAAGATTATGATTTTAAGAATGTTATGCATAAAAAAGCCTACCTCGCACATTTCCTGATTCACAGTTGGTAAATGACTTTACATCGTTATTGTGAGCATTAATAGAATAATGTATCTACTACATGTACCAAGCACCTATACAAATCAATCTTGTAGTTAAATACCATGTTTATATGGCGTGCTTTACTCATAAGCAAATGCTGGTTCTCGGATGAGCCCATATAAACCGAGGTCCCATGTCGCAGTTGGTGCTGGCACAAAAAAGATCCCTGACTGCGGAATGGCCCTGATTGATTGATTGTTGTTTTACGTCCCATTTGAGATTTTTTCACTCATATAGAGTCGTCACCATACACCGGTGATAGGGCTTCAAATTTTGACCTTTACTCGGCACTCAAGGCCATTGAGCAGTGAGGAATCTTTATCGTGCCAACGCCTACCGTGACATGGGGCCTCGGTTTTTAAGATCTCATCCGAAGGACCCGCTACTTTCACTTCTAAGTGCCGAGCGCATGGCGAAGGAACAGTTGCTACCCAATTTTAATCGACTTAGATCAGTCGCGGCCGAGATTCGAACTCACGACCTCCCGATCACGGAGCGAGCGCTCTACCGATTGAGCTACTGTGAACGGTTACGTAATGGCCCTGAGTGCCGAGTATAGGTGTAAATTTGCAGCCCTCCACCAGCAAGTGGTGGCGTCTCCTTTTAAGTGAAAAATTCTCGAGAGGGACGTTAAACAAAAAACAAACTAACAAACAAACATAAGCAAATGAATTGTATATGTGTAAATACACTCATGTAAGCATATCCCGATGTATAAACACTTTTACTTATGTGCAAAATACTCTTATAAGCATATTTACTTCTAGTCATGGGCAGGTGCAAATCGGTTTACTCATGTGTGTTAAATGATTCATCTATGGTGTTTCTTGATATAGAAAGCTTTCCATTAAGCCTTCCAAGGATGAAAAGATCAGTCTCTTTCTTAATTTTCAAATTTTCCAACCATTGTTCATCATTCAATTTTACAAGAGTATCTTCTCAAACTAGATATTCGATTGTGTGTTTTTTTTAATCTTACGAACAAATAAGCATCATACTGTAACCCCAATGCTTTATTTATACATATAAAAGAATTCTCTTTCTCCAGAATGAAGCCTTTTTTTATTGAAATCAGGATTTAAAAAATGATATTATTTATTCACAGTACTTAAAATCATAGGAGAACGAGTTGTAAATTTACTTTTGCACACAGTAGCAAATTTGCTCTTGAGTAAATATACTCGTGAGTAAATTTCTCGCCGTATAAAAGTACTCGAAGATACTAAAATTTACATGCTTAAGAAGAAAAGCGAGATCAGTTACTACAAGAAGTTCTTATACTTTGTCTTGAAGTGAGGGTTTCATAATGATTCATAAAAGTGACAGGAATATTCCAAAATTACAAAGACCAATCATTCTAAGTAGACGCACCGAAAGAGGGCCTGCTGATTTCAATGAATCATCTCAGAGGAAGCATACAGTATACACCTTTTGAAAAGTTTGACAAAAGAAGTAAAATTATCTAGCTTCACTAACATTCCTAAAATATTATAAAGTAATGTAATGATTTAACCTTCTCAAACTTATTTCATTTGAAGCAATTGGGCGACTTTCTGCTATACAGTATTGCAAGTAATTAGAAGCTGTTTCAAACTTTTCCTACCCTGTATATATACGGGAAGAGTTATTGAAATTTAAATGAGTTGTTTTAATTGCTTCAATTTATAAAGCGTATCTTACAAGTTTATTTTTTTTTTCGTACGGAATTTAAAGATTTTTTTTTTTTAGAAAATCTGTTGAAAATTTTATGTTAGGTGTTGCATTGTATATATTCTTACCATCTTCGTATGTCGGCCCAGAGGAAGATACGTACTAGTAGAAGTAGTAGTTGTTGTTTTTCGTCATTTATTCGTTGAAAATTCAAAATTGATAATTAGTAAAGGAAAGCAAAAAATGCGTAATTTTTTTCTATTTTGATAAAACTGCACACACCTATTTCATCAATGATTTTTTAAGATATCTTTTCATTTTTAACCAATCTGTTACACTACAGTATTTGTCAATCAATTTGTTTGACAGTTCATAATAAGTAACATGATACGTAAATAGATCCAAGCCAGTGTTACTTAAGATTGATTTTAATTCACTATTTGTGTATGTAAAATAGAGTTAATGTCACAGACTTAGGAGGCCGATTTTTTATGATAGTTCTCTAATAAAAATATGTCCATTTCTACCAGTATTGTCATATACATGTATATGTAAGTCCTTATCCCTGTGAAAGTGGGGGAACCAAATAAAACTGCCAAAAATGTCATCGCAACTGTTGTTCCTCTTGTAAGTGTATTTCTGATTATTTTGACAATTTTGGTTAGTTCTATTCGATTTTTAGCATGGGAGTTATAAGGAGAACAAAGAAGAACAATATATATAGAGGATATTCAATGTTTTGTTGTGAAATATGGAATTTATTTCATGAGTGGGACAGGATTTTTTGACATTTTCACGAGTGAGAAGCATAAGTGAAAATATCAAACAAATCCTCTCTCACGAGTGAAATAAATTCCATAGCCAACTACAAAACATTGAATTTTCTGTTTATTACATCTTTTTATTTTACCTTTGCCTATGTCTTTTCTTAATACAAGTTGTGAGATTGAAAACATTGTAACCTCCATAGATTTTAGTAACATATTTGGGAATGAACTGGCAGTTTTAGACTCTATCAAGATGGTTTCGTTACTATCTCTATCAGATTACGGTCAAGAAATTATTTTATACTTATTTTGATATCCTTTCACACTGTCAAAGAATATCACTTTGGTATCCTTTCACACTGTGAGAGAATATCACTTTTATTCGATAAGTTTATAAATCAGAGTATTTCAATGTTGAAAATGTAATAAAATTTAATTATTCTTCTCCCTCAATATGTTTTCTGACTTAAGTTTTCCTCTTAATTTAAAGGAGAAATACAGAGTTGTCGCGCTTATAATAATTTGGCAATGTATTACCTTTTATAGGTTTCATTTTCAACTTTAATTTGTTGCTTTTCATTATTCAATTTAATGACATCAAGATAAACAACAGAAATGAGTTTTCAAACCTGCTGCTCTACATAAATGTATGATTTTTGAATTCTTTCCGATTGGTCACTTGCGAAACAGCATTGAGCCGAGCTTGGTAGAGACACGCCCTTAACGCGTATTTCAAACAATATCATTTATTATTAAAGCTAAACATCAAAGTGTAATTTCTGATAAAACATATTTCATTAAATTTTGTGTAATCTGGTATTTATCATTTACTTTGATAATTATGAATGGGCAGAATTATATCTTACTTTTCTTTTAAGTTAAAGGCATATAAAGATGTTATTATGCGTAGTTGCATCTTATCTAAGCTCTCAGGTTGACATTAATTCGCAAAATGGTGTATGTTGCATGTGGTGATATTGAAAATTTATGTTCGGGTACAAGTATGGTTTCTACAGTATCCCATAAAGCCCTTGTCACCTTTTAAGTATGTGTATCTAAACGCCCATGCTAATAAAATACTATCTATGTAGATAATAACTTACTTACTTGAAAGTAGAAAGTCAACAGACTTTCCTTAAATTTTTTTTATCCTCTTGGACAGTAAAATAATCCAGAATAGGAATATATTTGTAAGCACAGGAATCGAAAACCCTGGTACGAGAATACGTAGCACCGGTTTCTGCTGGAATGCCGATTCTGCCGAGGTGGGGTCAATACTCAAATTACAGACATGCACTGAAAATCAGTGGGGTATGTCCCTTTGTATTCTTGTTAAAAAACTTCGTGATAATAATGAAATATCGTTTTTACGGTTTCTTTCTTATTTTGGCGATGTTGAAGGAAAAGTTTTCCTAGTTGTAAAGACTTGTGTTGATTAATTATCAGAATAGCAAATTAGTGTACCAGTACTTCAATTGAAACAACGTATCCGTTAAATAAACGTACTTCGGGTAGGTCATACACTGCAAACCGAGAGTGTTAAATAGGTCAGAAGTGAACGATCTCTTCATATGAATAGCGGAAGGATGTAAAAGCCGCCGTCCCTGGTCAAAGCATCGGTTCTTTTTACTGTGGAGAGAACTTTACCATTTAAGTCTCGAAATAAATCGTAAATAGCAAGATGCGCAGTCGGAATATAAAAAAAAAGTAAAAAAAAAAAATGCCTTTGTAAAAAATGTAGATCTATACAATTACCGGGCACTTTGAAATCGAGTATACAATGTCAACTTCGATGTACAAAAATATTATTTATTTTGTATAAACATTTATAAATATATACTTTAAACAACAAAATAAGTATGTAAATGCATTTGATTGAATAAAAAAAGATTATATCACGTTTTATATGAAAGGAAGTATTGAGATATGTATTTATATATTTCAAGACACGCACAGATAAAACAATAGTAATCAAACTCTAACAAACTCTAACAAAGCTAATACATAAATGGAATTTGTCAAGTTTACATATAAAATAAATGATAAAACTCATTAATAAGTTTTGTCGATAATTTTTAGCCTAATATATCGTATAATATCTGAACACAATTTAAAACACGAAAAATTATGCAATAAGATTCATGTTTCCTAGAGAATGCTATTTCCAAATCATTTGATATTCCATCCTTTTAATCAGATAGGGGTTCAAATGTTCCTGAAGGTGAGGCATTGCACTTGGTACCTTATGATATGCATCTCAACGAAAAGAACAGGATGAATTAAATGTCTCAGTGTAAAACCAATGCATACAAACGAATAAACTGTTAATGGAATGACAAATCACAAGATCCTGATGATAGCATTTGACTTGGCACATTTATGGAAGAGTATGGATTTCAGATCAATACCCTGAGTCTAAGGGTCAGATTTTTTCTGCAATAAAATGAAATATTTGGTCATTGTGTAATTTCCTGGTCAATAATGAAATCAAGAAGATACCATGCCCTTAACGTCAGCCAAATTTGGTAAATGCAACGAATTTTTTCCCATTGAAATAGATTGTGTATATATTTTTCCAATTTAAATAACAGAAATATTAAACCATACTTAATTTGATAAGATTTTTCTGTAGTAATTCAAAATCTTACATAAAGTGGATGCGGTCTGGTCTCAGCCTGAGGTCGTTTAATTTGATATTGTGTATTGGGATCTAGTGCTTGATACATAAAATCCCAGGAAAAATTAGATTTTGCTCCATTATCATACACTGAAAATAAAATGTTCCATTTAATATCATCTTATATATAATGCTATCAAAACTTTAGAAAATTACCAATAAAATAGAGTGGTTGATCTTTCAAAATTTACAATAAACAAAACATACATGAAGGCTGAAAACGACTTACTGTAGACTTCTCTTCCCCCACGGTATGTATTATCAAATCCATCCCCGCCTCTTCCCCTTCGTTCATTCATATCTGATATACTTGAGTCATCTCCCCAGTTCCGCAGTGAATAGGGACCACGTCTACCCCAGCTGTCAATCTTTGTGGGGATTCCCGACTTAAAGAAGCCCTCTGTGTGCATTGTCCTGAAAAAAGTTTATTTATTAATTTTTTGGTATGTACTTCTCTTGATAAGACTTGATTTACTTTAGCTTATACATGAATTATGAGGATTCCTCGTAAATTAATGGGACACATTTTTTTTTAATTTCTGATGTCCTTCCACAAAATTATCCATAGACATGAAGAGATATTTTATAAATATTGCAAAGAAAATACATGTGCTTGAAATGAAATTTAACAGGTAACAAAAATATTGTTGTAAACGTCATGGTTAGCGGGTACCTGCAGCAGACTTTAAAAATTGCTTGAAACAAACAAACAAAATAAAACATTGAAATAGCAGGAAGAAATATAGTACATTAATTAGTTCTGTATCAAAAAGATAAAATCATGGTTTTAACATTTCAAATGTTCAACCTGTAACACAAATAAAGGAATTGTATTTTGTTTGAAGTGTTGGAATAGTAAATAACAATGCCATGAGACGTTCGAGTGGAGTATGGTGCATTTAAAGCATTTTATGCACGGAAATAATAAATAATAAAAGAGCCGTTGCAAACTAAACAAGGAACACCAAAAGACTATCTGTCGTCTTCTTGGTCCTAGTTTATTGCAGGCATAATTTAGAGATTTAATCTGGCAACTTGTCCGCCCAACGAGCAACCCAGATCTGGCTCAGACTGTCTTCACAGGTTTCCCAAAAAATCAAAGTTGTGCAAATTATAGGTTTAATTACTGTCAAGAATGTTTGGGTGGCTGTTGTGTACTTCGAGAAGGAAAAAGTTTGTCTTATTTTGTCGCTCAGTAATATCAACATCAGATGGATAGCTAGCTGCAGAACTGTAGCTCTCCGCAAAAAAATTGACAGACCGGAGAACTACAGTGCCACCCATAGAAAAAACTGTATATTTATTGCGCACAAAAAATTTGGCTCGGTTCTGGATTTATTTCTCCAATTCTTACCTCACCTGCACAAAAGCTCGATTTCAAAAAAATTCCTTAGACCTCTATCAATTAATCTTGTAGTTGACATCTTTACGAAGCACGTTTGGCCAAATTGTCTAGCCACGCAAAGTGGCAGTATAAACAAGCGAAATTTTGGATTGTCTTAATTTCAGGTCCAGGAGGGCTATTAACAACGGCTATAGGAAATGTTTTGACGTGGGAATAGTGCAAAAATGTGTTAGGAACACACGGTCAGTAATATGTAAAGATTGCAGTTTAAAAATACGGAGAAATAAATCGAGAAACAGCGCACTTTTTTGTGCGCAATAAATATACAGTTTTTTCTATAGGTGGCACTGTAGCTCTCCGGTCTGTCGATTTTTTTTTTCGGAGAGCTACAGTTCTGCAGCTAATGGATAGTGACATCTCAAATCTGCTTCTGGGACATGTTCATCAGCATACAGAAAATACATATATCTGCATTTTAATCGAGTATCATTTTATTTGTTAATAATTTTATGTCTTTCGGCTCTAAAGTTACATGTAATAACATCTCAATAATTTACAGATAAACTGTGTTCAATGATATACATGTATTCATAATTAAGAATCATGAATATTCTTTTTTCTTTGAAAAATACTTAAAATGTCTTTTTCAGGAACAAAAGCAAAGCATTTTGATATACAACGCGTAGTTATGTATCATTTTAACGACATACCTATCTAGGTCATCTTCCTCAGAACTTAATGAGCTCTTTCTGTACTTCCGTCTACGGTAGTATATACAAATAATCGCTAGAACTAGGATAGCTATAAAGAACAGAGGGATTCCTACGCCAAGTCCCACAATCAGCTTAAAGGAGTCTGTCAAAGAAATAGCATTTCAATACTAATTGTCATTTTCTTAAATACATGACGTTTATTATCACCATGCTTTAAAATAGACAGTATAATTTTTCTTCAATATACTGAGAAAAAAATGCCCTTCATATCATATTTTAGCAAAGCAAAACTTTCTTACCGTCACTTTCTATTTCCCTGCAAAAGAATAAAGAAGTATTAAAATCACAAAATCACTCAAACACTCATAGGTGAATGAGTTATCAAATAGACAATCAGTAACTGGCTTTACCTGCACTTAACTAATCCATCTATTTCAGAGCAACGTTGACCAGCTGGACACGTATTGATAGTGTCAAATACTGTACAGCTAGTGGAACTGGACGATATACTAATAGCTACAAAGAAAGACATATGAATAAACAACCAATGATAAGGGAGTGATTTATATAACCTAATGTAGAAATAATTCAAGTGCATTTCACATCAATGTTAAGCTTTACAGCAGAGACAGATAGACTTTATTTATAATTGATTAACATCCATTCCATTAAAGCGAGGATTGACCTGAATTTTTAAGATGAAGTAACCTACTTTTGGTATTCCCGTTAGAGTCTGTGACGTTTATAGATTGCAAGGGGATTTGTGTGCTATTGTATGTTACTGTCAGACTTCCAGTAGCCAAACTATTCAATGTCTTTGCAAAATCGCTCCGTGTCTGATCCACAGATGAACTTGACGTCACGACGCTGTGTTGGACAATCACACTTCCAAATCTACAAGAGAAAGGGAGTAAATTTGTAGAAAGATATGACATATTGTACTTAACCATATACACAATAATTGGGAAATCCATTGGGATCATTTTTATCAATCTAAATCATATATATCGAATTGAAATAACATATTAGTAATTAATAACAATTTTTGCTTCCATTTTCATGTGCGAACCTGTTGCATTGTTTGTGTTTACAGAATGGTATTAACCAAGATGTTTTACAGGCAACTCATGCAGTCTTTATTATTCGGTCTTATAATCATTACCAAGCTGAGCAGACCGTTAAAATGTATTCAATACTATTGTCTACATAACAAATTGTCTAGCCTTGAAGTTTTAAATAGAATTAAAAATCAACATTTATATACTTTACAGGGATGATATTCGATTAAAATTGGTTGTTCAGATAAATAATTCATGCAAATTCTTCGATAATAACATGTAGCAAATTAGCAAAAAATTAGTAATAGCAATTTTTTCCATAAATCATAATCTTAGGTCTAGACAACTCACCATTTTGATCTGTGGAAATTTAAGTAGAAAATTTTTTTATTTTACTTTTCAAATTAAAAACAAGAGGCCCATGGGCCATATCGCTCTCCTGAGCACACTGGCTAGTCAAAAGCACAAATCAGTTCAGTATTGAAAAGATTACTGGGGGGGGGGGGGGGGGCTTGAATTTTAAACTACCTGATGATGCTTCCATGTCAATATAACAAATGGCTTTTTTGTACTTGAGAAGATATTTAAAAAAAATTCCCATATATTCCTTTGTAAAAATTTGATCCCCCATTGTGGCTCCTCCCTATCCCAGGGGTCATCATTTGAACAAACTTGAATCTACACTACCTGAGGATGCTCCATATCAATATGACTAAACATAGCTTTTCTATTCTTGAGAAGAAATCTTTTTTTTATATGTTCTTATGTAAAACTTTCCATCCCCATTAGGCCCCACCCTACCCCTGGGGGTCATTTGAACAAAATTGAATCTACACTACCTGAGGATGCTTCCATATGAAAATGACTAATCATGGTTTTCAGTTCTTCAGAAGAAGATATTTTCCTATATATTTCTATGTCAAACTTTGATCCTCCATTGTGTCCCCGCCCTACTCCTGGGGGTCATGGTTTGAACAAACTTGAATCTACACTACCTGAGGATGCTTCCATATAAATATGACTCATCATGGCTTTGCTGTTCTTGAGAAGAAGATTTTTAAAGATTTTTCCTATATATTTCTTATGTAAAACTTTGATCCTCCATTGCAGCCCCGCCCTACCCCCGGGGGTCATGATTTGAACAAACTTGAATCTACACTACCAGAGGATGCTTCCATATAAATATGACTCATCATGGCTTTGCTGTTCTTGAGAAGAAGATTTTTAAAGATTTTTCCTATATATTTCTATGTCAAACTTTGATCCTCCATTGTGGCCCCGCCCTAATCCCGGGGGTCATGATTTGAACAAATTTGAATCTACACTACCTGAGGATGCTTCCATTTAAATATGACTCATCATGGCTTTGCTGTTCTTGAGAAGAAGATTTTTGAAGATTTTTCCTATATATTTCTATGTCAAACTTTGATCCTCCATTGTGGCCCCGCCCTAACCCCGGGGGTAATGATTTGAACAAACTTGAATCTACACTACCAGAGGATGCTTCCATAAAAATATGACTCATCATGGCTTTGCTGTTCTTGAGAAGAAGATTTTTAAAAATTTTTCCTATATATATTCAATGTAAAACTTTGATCCTCCATTGCAGCCCCGCCCTACCCCCGGGGGTCATGATTTGAACAAACTTGAATCTACACTACCTGAGGATGCTTCCATATAAATATGACTCATCATGGCTTTGCTGTTCTTGAAAAGAAGAAGTTTTAAAAAAATTTCCTATATATTTCTATGTCAAACTTTGATCCTCCATTGTGGCCCTGCCCTTACCCCGGGGGTCAAGATTTGAACAAACTTGAATCTACACTACCTGAGGATGCTTCCATAAAAATATGACTCATCATGGCTTTGCTGTTCTTGAGAAGAAAATTTTTAAAAAATTTTCCTATATATTTCTATGTCAAGCTTTGATCCTCAATTGCGGCCCCCGCCCTACCCCCGGGGGTCATGATTTGAACAAACTTGAATCTACACTACCTGAGGATGCTTCCATAAAAATATGACTCATCATGGCTTTGCTGTTCTTGAGAAGAAAATTTTTAAAAATTTTTCCTATATATTTCTATGTCAAACTTTGATCCTCCATTGCAGCCCCGCCCTACCCCCGGGGGTCATGATTTGAACAAACTTGAATCTACACTACCTGAGGATGCTTCCATATAAATATGACTCATCATGGCTTTGCTGTTCTTGAGAAGAAGATTTTTAAAAAATTTTCCTATATATTTCTTATGTAAAACTTTGATCCTCCATTGCAGCCCCGCCCTACCCCCGGGGGTCATGATTTGAACAAACTTGAATCTACACTACCTGAGGATGCTTCCATATAAATATGACTCATCATGGCTTTGCTGTTCTTGAGAAGAAGATTTTTAAAGATTTTTCCTATATATTTCTATGTCAAACTTTGATCCTCCATTGTGGCCCCGCCCTTCCCCCGGGGGTCATGATCAGAACAAACTTGAATCTACACTACCTGAGGATGCTTCTATATAAATATGACTCATCATGGCTTTGCTGTTCTTGAGAAGAAGATTTTTAAAGATTTTTCCTATATATTTCTTATGTAAAACTTTGATCCTCCATTGTGGCCCCGCCCTTACCCCGGGGGTCAAGATTTGAACAAACTTGAATCTACACTACCTGAGGATGCTTCCATAAAAATATGACTCATCATGGCTTTGCTGTTCTTGAGAAGAAAATTTTTAAAAAATTTTCCTATATATTTCTATGTCAAGCTTTGATCCTCCATTGCGGCCCCCGCCCTACCCCCGGGGGTCATGATTTGAACAAACTTGAATCTACACTACCTGAGGATGCTTCCATAAAAATATGACTCATCATGGCTTTGCTGTTCTTGAGAAGAAAATTTTTAAAAATTTTTCCTATATATTTCTATGTCAAACTTTGATCCTCCATTGCAGCCCCGCCCTACCCCCGGGGGTCATGATTTGAACAAACTTGAATCTACACTACCTGAGGATGCTTCCATATAAATATGACTCATCATGGCTTTGCTGTTCTTGAGAAGAAGATTTTTAAAAAATTTTCCTATATATTTCTTATGTAAAACTTTGATCCTCCATTGCAGCCCCGCCCTACCCCCGGGGGTCATGATTTGAACAAACTTGAATCTACACTACCTGAGGATGCTTCCATATAAATATGACTCATCATGGCTTTGCTGTTCTTGAGAAGAAGATTTTTAAAGATTTTTCCTATATATTTCTATGTCAAACTTTGATCCTCCATTGTGGCCCCGCCCTTCCCCCGGGGGTCATGATCAGAACAAACTTGAATCTACACTACCTGAGGATGCTTCTATATAAATATGACTCATCATGGCTTTGCTGTTCTTGAGAAGAAGATTTTTAAAGATTTTTCCTATATATTTCTTATGTAAAACTTTGATCCTCCATTGCGGCCCCGCCCTAACCCCGGGGGTCATGATTTGAACACATTTGAATCTACACTACATGAGGATGCTTCCACATGAGTTTCATCTTCCTTGGCCCTATGGCTCTTGAGAAGAAGATTTTTACATGATGCCATTATTTTTTCACTAATTCCTAATAATCTCCCCTTGAAAGAGAGCGTGGCCCTTCATTTGAACAAACTTGAATTCCCTTAACCCAAGGATACTTTGTGGCAAGTTTGGTTGAAATTGGCCCAGTGGTTCTTGAGGAGAAGTCGAAAATGTGAAAAGTTTACAGACAGACAGACAGACTGACGGACGCCGGACAAAATGTGATCAGAAAAGCTCAATTAAGCTTTCAGCTCAGGTGAGCTAAAAAACTAGAATGGGAATATCCATTTTGGGTCATCAATCAATACTGAAATTGCTTTCTATACAAAACAGCTGTAAAATAATTCAGAACAGACCTTTTTTCGGTCGCTAGAGAGAGATTTGTTTAATTTTTATTTCTGATATTATATTTTTCTTAAGTTAGACTATACTTGTATATTAATTTTATACCACGTAGAAAGTATACCTGATGTCGATTATAATGACTTTTATGAATCCGGTAATTCTAGCCTGGTAAAGTGCTGTCAGCTATGTAAAGAAAAGGTATAGTATAAAATGAAATATATGCATCTCTAAAAACTCCTATAATTATTATAGAATGCGTTAATGATCCACAATTTTATGTATTAGGTGAAAAACTCACAGCTGTTTTCATCTCTTCTTTAATGGCTTCTATTTCTGCAGCATTTCCATTTATGTTAAAAGTAAATGTTGATGAGAAAACTCTTTCATTGGATGCTGCAAGATTGTGAAAAAAATTTAATGCATGTTTTGTATCAATTTTATATTTTAAATAAACAAATATTTTCAAAATATCTTTGCGTACATTAACCATCTTACCTGGTTGATAAGTGGTAGGTGCTGGAATTTGAAAAAGGCAAAATATTAACTTGCGAAATACTTTTTTTTTGCAGAATATATACTTATTTGTAGAACCTGACCATGCCTTAATTGAAGACAACCGTTAATGTTTCAAGATATGTTAATTAAAGTTGTACACTCTTTAATCGTGTCATTGAAAAAAGAAGGAATAATTTTATTTGAAATTATCTCAATACCTGCTGTTGCCTGGGTTGTTACTGGGACAGTTGAGGTTTCAGTGGTTACAGCTTCTGTTGTTATTGACTGTGTTGTTACTGGGGCGGTTGAAGTTTCAGTTGTAACAGCTTCTGACGTAGTGACAGGAGCCCCACCGGTTGTGGATTGTACTATAAATCAACAGATTTCACTTTGACAACGAAGCACGTATCCTACATGCTCTTTTATAACAGTAAAATAGCATGTATTGGCAATGTGGTTTTGCACACAAATACCCTTTTTTGTATATGTAATCAAAAAGTAAGTATATTAACAAAAATTATTTTCCTTAAAGAATCAAATTACCAATGTTAATAATGAAAGAGACGTTATATGTTAGATACTGACTACCTTAATAGTATTTTGTTAAATGTATATGAATATGTGATACATATAGTTTTCAAAGACTTATTTAGGAGAGAGAATTATACAGTTTTGTTCAGGCCTTCACCAGCGTCATGTTTTACCATGTATATCTTTCCTATAACATCTTAAATAGATAGTTATGTTTAAGAGGTATATTCTAAGAATTAAGAAAAAATTAATCAACAAGTATATATTGATACATGAAAGAATTATGTTAGTGCTACAAGTAACGTAGATGTGCCAATGTTCCAAACAACTATTGGTGTGAAAGAATTCAAAGGGTTCCAGGACAAAAATGTGCAGTTCCTGTACCTTCCGTCGTGACCCCGCCCGTAGAGACAGGCAGATTGGTAGACTGTGGGGTGGAGACTTGTGAGTCAGTAGTAACAGCCTGACTTGATGTCATCTGGTCAGTAGTAACTGGTTGGGCAGATGTAACGGAATCGGTTGTTACTGGCTTTACAGATGTCAATGAAACTGTAGTTGCTGGTTTGGCAGAAGTCACCCCTTCAGTTGTCGGTTGGGCAGATGTGACTGAATCTGTTGTTGGTTGAGCCGACGACATAGCAGTTGAGGTAGGTTGAACAGAACTTCCAGAACTTGTGGTTGACGGTTGTGCAGATGATGCAGCCCCTGTAGTAGATTTTTGCCCTGATGCTGTTTGTTGGTCTGTTGTGATTGCTTGTGTCGACGTAAAGCCACCAGATGTCACCGTTTCGTCTGATGTTGTATCATCAGTGGTTGAAGTAATAGAACCAATTGAAGACGTTGAAACAAATGAGAATGTGGTTGTTTCCTCCGTTGTTGTAGGTACTTGTTAAATAACATTTTCATATTACTGATAAAGCTTAAAACTAAAGCTAAATAGCAAGCAAGCTTGTTAAAGGACAGCTTCAAGCAGTTAAATGTTAAGGCACTTATACATTGCAAATAAATAGAAAGAAGCAATCAACAGATTATTTTGCTTCATATAGCAGACAGCTTCTCCTGAGAGTTGAAAGCACAGCAATTATTATAGATAATTTTCAGACAGCAGAATCTGTAAGTATTTACGATCAAATAAAAGTACATGTACAAATACCCCCCCCCCCTCTCCCCCAATTAAAAAACTCCGGATTTACAATGAACAATATTGTTAAAAACAATCAATCACTTAATACATACTAGTACACTTATAGTTACTTACAAAGACAGCCACTGCCATCTGATCCATACAAACAAACACACGCCGATGATCCATCCGAATTTACACATTCCTCTGTGGTTGAATTACAAATACGCATTCCATTTGAACATTCATCAATATCTAACTCACAATTTGTACCATTCCATCCAGATTTACATGTGCAAGCTCCAGTTATATCATTACAATCCAACGTGTTTGTGACATTGCAAGTGCACGTTTGTGAACATTGTGTGCCGAACGTTGTACTGCTGCAAGCTGAAATTTACTGCTGAATTAGTTTTAATGCTTGATTTATGTTGATCATTTTTTCGATGATTTGCTCTATCTAACCATTATCATTTTTCGTTATTTCTGTTGCTATTTACGAGTTTGGTGATAAACAACAAATTTATTTTTGTAACAAGTCCATGAGCTTGTCAGTCACCTGTGTATCATGAGTTTCTCAGCCTATGACCGCTTCGACCTCGAAAATGGAATGCTAAGCTCATGTGCAAAAATCAGTTTGCTGAGAACACTATGATATCATATTTGTGTAGCTTGTCTCCTAGACGTTCAGGAGTAAAAAATTCAAAGACAAGGTTCACTGAACAATAACTTTCAATATGTATCTGTATTTCCAATATATGACTACAATAGACCCATCTTTGCGCCTGGACTGTGGGTCGGGGAGCTATGCATTTTTCAATTCTGCATTGGAAGCGAGCAAAGCATGTATTATAATCATGGAGACAGTATGCTTGTTTTTCACGAGTAGAGAAAATTTTCAAAAAACTGTAATTTATTTTCAATATACATGTATGACCAATTAAGCCCCACTCAGGGTCTCTAAATCATTGACCCTATTGCTATGAAACGTATGAGTACTTATTATAATCATGCACACAGATTTACTACTGCATGTAGATGTCCATGATTATGGAAGAAGATATTGTACGATTTAATGTATTCTCAATATATAATCAACCTTCTACTATGGAGTGTGAATCCTGAGCCCAGAGGCTGAGATTTCACAATTCTGGTATAGGGACCATTTCTTTTAATAATCATGCCAGTATTCTGACTGACTGATGTCCGACGGTAGAGAAGATTTATTTTGATTGTTTGGTCACACTCCTGAGTGACTATGGTGACGTAAGATTTGAGATATCAATACCTGAACAAGTTTGTCCATCGCCGGAAAAACCAGGATTACAGTTACATGTAAACCCGCCCTTAGTGTTTTTGCATGCTGCATTGCTATCACAGTTCGATGTACCACGAATACATTCATTGGTGTCTGAAATATAAAATATATAGACGTTTGTCTTGTACTAATTATAAATCTTAAAAACATTAATTCTAATAATTATTCAAGAAAGCTAGAATATGCCTGAAATTTTCATGCTTCAAGGCAAAAAAATCTTTAGATTGGTTTTTATCACTAATGTTTGCACGCTTTTTTCTGATATAATTTGAGGCGTGTAAAACGTATATGGCTTCTTTTTTAAACAAAATATGATCGTAATATTTGTCTTCAAAACGACAGTCGCGCTGCAGGAAAGGTACAGGACACATATTTTTACAGACTCATTGTCCCCAAGATTTTATCATTACAGTAACGTATATTCCCACACTTCCATTTATGAAAAGAAGAAAACTCATAACAATGCTCGAAACAGCGGGTTCACGCAGACAGTATCAAGTATCGTAATACTATTTTACGCCTTCTCCCACAAACTTTACTGAATAAGCAACGGGGATTTAAAGTCTGTCATCAACAATAAATAATACCTGTGGCCTAGAAAATGAACATTCTGGAGTATTCATCCTTGCATATCCCTATTTTGGGACATAAATGATTTCTACAGTGTTGCATTTGTTGAAAGTGCTTTAACAATCGAGTAAAAATATTTTAAATAATTATAGTCAGTGCACCATGAATAGTATTGGGGTCTATGAGGAGGTCGTTAACATTTATGCCACTTGTTCCTTTACATTCAGAAACTTTAAATCTGATAAACTATATAGTGGATTCTTAACGTTTGTGCGGAAGGAACATATTGTATTTTTCGCAACAATGGTAAAGCAAAATTGGGTCATTGGTATTTGGATGCAGACCATTCATATTTTCAAACGTTTGTTCTATGTAATCACAACGTAAAACATCGTTTAGTTTGTAATCAGCAAAAGCCCTTCCGTCGACAAAATACAACTCAGTGCGACCATGCAATTGCTACATTATATCACGCTATCGTACCTATGCAATTTCCACCCGAGTCCTTCTCATAGCCTGCATTACAAGTGCAGAGATATGATCCTGTTTGCTCAGTGCAAGTTGAATTATCACCACATATACTGGGATCATTGGTGCATTCTGGGACATCCTCTGTACAGTTGATACCCTGCCATCCAGCACTGCAGTAACATGTTCCATTCTGTTTGTCACATGACTGAGTGTTACTGAACTCACACGTACACTGACTGGCACAGTTCTGACCGTATGTTGTGCTCGAACACTCTACAAACGAACATGTTATATATATATATTTAATAAAATTGCTATACAAATAAGTTTGATAAATAGAGCTATAACATATTTCATACAAATAGTAGATTCAATTTTTTTTTCAAATTTAAACATCTATGAAGGAAGGTCAGTTTTAAATCTCAGATGTTCTTTGATGGGGATGTCAACTATCTAACTCCCTTCAAAATTCTGATACTAGCATTTATAAATCTGGTAGGTTTCTTACTTATTAGTTCAACTTACGAACACATTGTCCACCGACGAGAGAATATCCGGTCTTACAAATACACGAATAGGATCCATTAGTGTTTGAACATACAGAGTTGACTGGACATATTGTTGCATTCTGACATTCATCTATATCACTGGAGCAGGTGGTTCCTTCCCAGCCTGCTTTACATGTGCAGGTTCCGGATACTTTGTCACAGGAAAGAGTGTTCTGGATGTCACATGTACAATTGGTTGCACAATTGAGGCCATACTTTCCAAATTCACAGTCTAAAATATACACGTTTCTAATTTGTTATTATAAATATTATGAATAAACTTTTAGACACTTAAAGTTTTGAAGAAAAATATTATCAATATTATCTGGGATATTTAAAAGTATTTGAATCTAAAGATCAAATATGCTTTACAACATGGAATTTGGTTTTTTTTCATTACTTCTGGGTTGCTTTGACAAACTAGATCCCTGTGTATCTTACCAATACATGTTCTCTGGTCTACATCCAGCTTTTTTCCTGGAGCACAGGAACAAAAGTATCCGGCACCAGGTGCATTCTGGGTACAATTTTCACTGCATGGATTCGGGGAACATTCGTCAATATCTGAAACAAATAAGCATGCTTTATTATCGAACACTTCATGATTCAAAGCGTGTGTGTAAACAGAGGAATTTTACAGGCAACAGGATACTTTACCTGTACTTCTCAATAAATTCTCTAAATACTAAACTCTGTATGTAACGCATGCTTAGAAATGCCATAAAAATTACATAATTGACATCTCCACTGCATTTCAATTCTTTAATGTTTGTTTTATCCATTTAAGTATCAAATAAAAAAGTAACAATAGATCTTTGTACAGGGTATTAACCTCAAACAAAAGATTTTTTTTCTCCTTCTTCGATTTGATCCCTTGCTTTGGACAATTTTTCTTGCATTTCTCTTGCCTTTTTGTCCTTATAAAAAGTTTAACGACTATACATACATCTAAAATATCACAGATATATATACCATCACAGGAGACCCCATCTGTACTATTCAAGCTGTACCCAGAGTCACAGAAGCAATATTCTGATCCGTCTTCATTGACTCCACATCGTTGTGAACAGTTGAAAGTAGTATTTGTGCAAAAAGTTCTTGCTAAAAAAGACAACGACACAAAACTCTTGTTAAATAAGGTAAAATACTTATACTGCGTACTGGATTTTTTTTTTTATGCTGCATGATTCAAAACCTTCAAATTAAAAGGTCTAATACTTAAGCTGGTCGTGTACTAACCATAACATGTAGTTCTCGTCGTGGTGTTCAGAAGGAACCCTGTGTTACACAAACACCTAAAACTTCCTATAGTGTTTCCGCATACTTGATCACAGGGATTCACAGGGGCAGAGCATTCGTCGTAATCCTCACATTGTGTTGTTTCAACCAATCTAAATCCCGCCCTACAACTACAGGAATAACTTCCGGGAGTGTTTGTACAAGTCTGACTACATGGATTGGTATTGCATTCATTGATATCTGAAATGTAAGAAATATTAAATGTCTAAAACAAATTTGAAAAATATCTTGACTAAATATTAAAGATGTGTTGTGAAACAATGATGCCCCATACGGCTGCTGATGGTTTAAGTTTCTCAAATGCAAGTCAAACTCAAAGGTCAAGAGATCAAAAATATCATTAACCAAAGAAATATACTTGTGAAATTTAAAAACCATAGCTCCACCAATCAGAAGTTATGGGCTAGGTTAAAGTTTTTGCGGATAAACAGACAGACAGATGGACAGAGCAGAAACTATATGCCCTCGAATCTTCGATTACAGGGGCATAAAACTTCCTAACAGTTTAAATTGTGTATAAATAATTAAATACGAAAACATTTCGAATATTTTATATTGATTTGAAACATGTTCTTTGTTATAGTGCAATATTTTTTTAATTAATTAACCTTTGCAAACTCCTGGTGAGGTTTCATTATATCCGGTGCCACACAAACACTGATATGATCCTAGAGTGTTCTGACACACTTGATTGGCCCCAGTACAAGGGTTACTAGTAGCACATTCGTCAATATCGGCATCACATTTTGCTCCGGCCCAGCCTGTTTTGCATACACATCCAAGTACATTGTCACAATTTGAAGCACCAACTCCACAATTACAAGGTGTTGCGCAGTTATCTCCATAGTAAAATCCGTCACATACTGTAGTTAAATTCAAATTTATGTAAAAAACAAAACAAAAAAAAAACGTGTAAATGATTCACCAATTCTAATCCTTTATTTCTTTTAAATGATAGAACACTCCATTTGTTGAATAAATTTACACTCTTACTGCATAATTATAATATTTTTTAATAATTCATAAAAATGATTGCTCTCTGATTACTTTCGGTTTTAATATGTGATTTCTTAAGATTTTAAAATTCAATTTTGCGGTTATTAACCCCTATGATTTTATGTACTTCATTTTCTTAATTAATATAATGTTAGTAATAACTAATTAATATAATAAAATAAATCAAATATATATCACCTGTACATGTTCTTCCATCGTTTTCTAGTGAGTACCCTGTTGGACATGTACAATTATAGGACCCTGGAATATTGACACACCTGTTCGGGACAGAACATTTGTTCTGTGTGGAATTTAGACATTCGTTCACATCTGAAAAATATTGGTGATACAGTAATTACTTCAAGTCATCACATAACAATTATTGATCAATAATATCGCTCCACCAACTTACCAATACAGGACTGTTGATCCTGAGCATTAAGAACATAGCCCGCCTCACAGAAACAGTAACCTATGCTTTCGTTATTTTGGTCTTGCTTGCAACCGTAACTACAGTTAAGGGAGGGGAACAGCGAACAGATGTCAGCAACTGAAGAATGCAATATAAAATTTATTTTCTATTTGCAAATAACAAATATTATAATTTATCTTTTTATGGTGTTTCATTTTCAGTATCTGAAGATAAAAAAGGGCTTCACCTCTTTCACACGTCCTCCTGTCATCTCCCAGAGCAAAACCAAACTGGCAGCCACAGTTAAACCCGCCATCAACATTTGTACATGTCTGGGAACAGCCGTCAGTACCAGCAGCGCACTCATCAAAATCTGTAGGATTAAACAATGAGCAAGAATTCTAAAAAGTTTTCTCCAGAGTGGATTAAAAAAATATAAATTAAAACAAACCACTGTCCTTAACATGATAGTATCATTTATTAGTATGGCTCACTCCAATCATATTTTAAGTCATATATCGAAGTTTGATCAAGTATATTATGATTTAATGCAGTCCATATTGGTGTTTAATGATAAAATACAGGTATGTGCAAGAGAAATACTACTATAAGAAACCAGAAAGACTATTTACCTTGACATTCGTACGCGTTCTTCTGAATGTAGCCTGTTGTACACTGACATGTATAACTACCGTCAGTGTTCCTACACGTAGACGTGGACGCAGTGCAGTTATTGGTTCCAGAAGTGGCACATTCATCAATGTCTGAAAAGAGTTGCAAAATGAAACATCACAAAATACGCATTTATCATAATACTTTTCAATTGAAGACCAGTGTAAATCAATATGAAAATTAAGCAGTGTATCAGTAAATCTTTGAGCTGTTAGGTACATGTACATACCAATGCAGTTTGTTCCATTTTTGACATATCCTTCCCTACAGTTACACGTGTAGGATCCCTGAAGATTCTGACATTCCTTGTCTGTACCACAGATTAACGGATTTACTGTACACTCATCTATATCCTTATCACACTTAGTTCCCGTCCATCCGGACAAACAGACACAACCAGTAACTGGGTCACACCTGTCTACCCCCGCTCCACACTGGCACACCTGGGTACAGTTGTCGCCATAATTTGGTGGAATGCACGCTAAAATATTGATAGAAAGTCCAAATACAAAGTCATTCCGATTTATGAGTCAAACACAGATTGACAAAATCAAAGGGACGTAGTAAAATAAACAATAACATTTTTTTAATAATTAAAATCCGTCTTACGTGAACATGATGTTTTGTCTGAATTTAGTGTGTAGCCAGCAAGACAGGAACACGTGAAGGATCCAACAGAGTTGTCACATTCTTGACAACAGACATCGCTTTCACATTCATCAATATCTAAGATAATGATAAAATTTTGTATTTGACACAGTAAGGTTGTAGAACTTTCTTGAATCAATATTTAAAACTACTCCATCGCTATTTTTCAGATAACTCTCTCTTACATAAAAGAAAACTAACGATAAAATAAAATACCCAAACGATACACAACCCCCAAAAACATCTTTGTTAATTACCAATGACTAAAAGCATTAATTGGTTTCACATTTAACCATGCCATACACAATGCAATTATCAAATAATCAATTCTACAGTTAACCATGCCATACACAATCATCAAAAACAACAATCATTCATACAATAATATTACCTATTCTGTTTTCCTGAAGCTAATCATTATCTAGGAAGTGAGATTGTTATACTTGAAATGTTGTCGCATAGTTATGGATAAATATTTCAAGGAACATGCGTTTTCTTTCGATACTCATAATTTAGTTTTTTACTGGTTATTTGTCGTTACTTGTTTCAATTTCATGACGGGTTTCAATGTGATTGAAATTTTTCATACATCTATCACTTAGACGTAATTCATTCATGACTGACCAAGTAATGTATTACTTACTTTATATTTCATCAAAAGAAATCGTCATTTAATAGTTTCATACCTGTACAGTTTTGTTCATTTGTCTCTAGTTGGTACCCCCTAGGACATATACAGGAAAAGGTTCCAGTGGAGTTATCGCATGTGTATTCACAACTCAGATTAAAGGTAGCACAAATGTCTGTTCCTAAGAGAAACATGAAACACAATCAGACGCTGATATTTCAAAGATTATTACTTAATTTTAAGAATACGCTGTATTTGTAAGGATTTACTGAATTTTGTTAATCAATGCAAAGTTGAAAACAGGTGTGAATTCGAAACATTTTTACTGTTGCCTTTTTTCCCTAAATTGCAGGAAAGAAGCGGTATACCTAGTCTGGTACATGTTTTGTTGTCACTGTTGAGGGTATGCCCCACTACACAGGAACAGCTAAATGATCCAGGGGAGTTTTTACAAATCTGCTCACAGCCAGATGTACTTTCTGTGCATTCATCAATATCTGAAGATGTAAAATATTCAAGGTCAATGGAAGCAATGTGACCGAACAGGACTTTATTTAAGAAGTTTATTCAAAGATTTTTATCGTTGGATATTTGGGTTTTATATAACAATATCTACTATGACAAGAAGTCATGAAAATATCAGTACTCCCAGCATCTGTCTGCATATCTGTATGCCTCTTTAGAACCATGTACAATGTAAAAGGTTACAATGTTTTCCAGATACGTTGGATTTTGGTAAAATACAGGATATGGACTGTACATTAATTAAAAAACAAGTATTTCCTAAATATCATTTTATTAAACGATGTTCATTACAAAAAAGACCATGACAGAATATTGAAATTGATGGCTTCAGCCTCAAGCAGTTTGGTTCTCGGGTCCACAAAACGAATGTTGCGACAAACACAATCAATTAATGTAAATATTGGTTAACTTTTCACCCCTTTATATTCTTAAGTTGCACACTGACCATACTGACTTCTAAATGCATATTTTTATCATTTGAACAAGATTGTTTTTAATTAAAAAGATGCTTGAACTCCAAAATTATTAGCCGTAACTATTTATCTTTAATAAAAAAAAACTTCAATGTTTAAAATGTAGAGATCACTAATCCATGTTTATTGTGTCATTTTGTTTCTTTTTAAGCAAGAATGGTTACAAACGATAGATGTCTGTCCATTTCCGCACCTTGACATGTCTGACCGACTTTCCAGTAGCCATCTTTACAATTACACAGGTAGCTTCCCTCGGTGTTTTCACATTGCTGTGTCACGGAGTCACAAGGATTTGTAGTGTTACACTCATTGATATCTGCAAAGATAAATTATCATATTATATCAACTGTAGCAAAAATGTATAAACATTCTTCATCCATATGTTCACTCTTAAAAAGTAAACCTTAGCCAAGAAGTAGAACGGGTTGACAAAACATGCCAAAAGAACATGTCATACGTATGAAACACGATATATGGAAGATTATATCCTTCATGGCTATTATTTTGGTCATGTTTATTTACCTTGGATAGTTCTATGAATAGAAATAGAAAACTATAATGGCACGTTTATTTTCTCTTTATTCTTTAGTACCAAGTACAAAGGACATAAAAGGTTAAAGATGAAATTGGAAGAATTCTGCAGGGTAATTAATTTGTTCGAAATGGTTGACGTACACCGAACAAAAAGAGGTTTCAAGATGACAGAATAATTGTACACTTCCTCGTACAAATCAGCATCGATACTGAAGGAATTAAAAAAAAAAAGGTTTGGTTGTTTTACGGAGGCTGGGTGATCAGCATATTACCCAACAGATCCACTAATAAGAAAACAAGCCAATAAGTACAGTGTATCATTTAGTGAGGGGAAAAATACATGTTCAAGCTATCATTTAATTCAGTTTTCCATATCTTTATATAGAGCTATTCTTTTTCAACTAAGTCTTTAAAATATTTTTAAATTGTTGTTAGTAAATACATACAGTTATGATTTTGATTAAATGCAGAAGATATTACCAAAATGCAAAAAAAGCTTGAATAAAAACCATTTCCAATTAAAATCTACGGTTTGTACCTTCACATTTATTGTCCACATCCTGATAACCGGTAGGACAGTCTGTACAATTGTAGCCTCGACCCAGAGCTACTTCTTCCTGAGGGGTCAAGTCAGTACAGTTTCTGTCCAGAGCACATGGACTCTGAAGGCAGGCATCTTCATCATTCTCACAATCATCACCTTAGAATAAATTGTACATCTCTATCAAAAATAGCCCAATCTAAAAAAAAAATCTATCGTGGCAAGTTTCATAGCAACTTATCAGTTGAGTGATAATTCATCATTTAAAATATGTTTAAATTTTCATTTATTGAAATGGTTATCATTATAACATTTCAATTTTAAGGCGGCTTCTATATCTCACTTGGTTTATTTCACCTTTAAAGCGCTTTATTAATACATTTATTATGATAACATTAGCATTATATGTATTTCAACCGATTTCATCCATCTCTTCACTCTTACAAAATTTTGCTTTAATGCTTATAATTTCCCAAAAGAAATGTAATTTATTATCAAAAAGTATACCAATTTTATAAAGGGATGTTAGTCGTTCAACTCCATGACAGTTATCTCCCTCGTCAAAGAGTCAATGAACATTAATTATGCAATGCCTATTTGATTAGACTTTCACTATATTACCATCGTATCCCGTGTCACACACACAGACAGCAAGATTAAACATGCTGCTAGAACTGGTTCTGGTACTATTGTAGTTACACGTTCCATGGTTGTTACAACCACTACATAATACAATAGCGACATCTACCGGAGAGGCTGCAACATTCTTATCATCAACCACAGTCACGCTTAAAAAAGATGAATTTTACTCAGATCAAGCAATACAAAGAAGAAAAATCATGATGCATTTACCAATATTAAACTCATTAACTTCTCATACTTAGATATTTCTCTCTGTCAAAAAAGGATGAAACATCCAATTAGTTTTTATTTCGCAAGAGTACCAAGTGACGTTTTTCTTCCCCAGTTAAGACTTTAAAAAATTTGGTGAATCACCCTAATAGATGAAATATATGGAGAAACAGTATTGCACATATCATGCACAATATGTCTACCTTATGTTAACAACACTAGTGTCAGTTGGCGTCCATGTTGCTATGCCGGAGCTGGTGTTAAGGCTGAACCCAGAGCCTGGCTCCTGGAGAACTTGATAAGTGTATGTCCCGTCGTCTGAAGCATTGAACTTAATTTCTACAGATCGATTCACCTCCGCCAAAATTTGATCGCCACCTTCTAATTCTATATCTGGAGTTTCATTATCTGACAAACAAAATACATTAGATTCCTTTTTAACCAAAAGAATATATGTATCAGAGCTAACGTTATTGTGAGAAAAAGGGAAATCATCAAGCATATTTCGAAAGGTCCAATTATTGTTGTAATAAACAAGTTCGTTTTTCGTTACCTGCAGTTGCACTCTCGGTCTCGAATGAAGTCTGTTCACCACCTGAGGATATTGCTAGGTTTTGGTCCTTCGTTGCCAGGAAGTCAAATATACAAGCCTGTGTGGCCGATGCACCACCACAAGCAGTAATGGACGCATTTCGTTCCTCCTCAGAAAATTCGTCAATGAAGAATGGGACAAAGTCGGGATGTGAGAAATCTGATTGTGAGTATCCGATGTCATAATGAAACAGTGAAGTACTCTCACTAACACTCCCTGTAATACGAACATGTTCACTAAAATGGAATGATTTGATTTTCGAGGGATCGGTTTGAGGCAACAATCCAAGACTCAAGGAAACGAATTTTTGAAAACTAAATAGAGGATTTATTGGTTAATATAATCACGAAAACAGGATTAAACAAGATTACAAGATTTCAAGACTATAATAATTTGTTAAACATGCATTTTCAATATGCGATAAGCATTATTCCTGTGTTATGAATTTCACTGATAGAGGGCTTGCTGTTTATTATGTTCTCTAAACAAAGTTTGGGAATTGTTTTTACTCTGCTTTAGTCTATTTCTTATTATTATTAAATCATTTTGACAGTTTGTCTGATAGGTTTCCATATTAGAGGCAAGGATTTTAAAATTTTATGCATTTTTAATATTTATCAAACTTAGACCTACAGTGGGACATAAAACCTTAACAGAAGTGTTGTTGATTTCAAACACACAAATTTGGTAGGTGTTTAATTTTTATTACAAACAGGCAAACAGTTTGTCTGTGAAGTCCAGGACTCAAAAAGATCTGAATAATTAAGAAACTTGCAACATACGACCAACTGAATCTACATCCAGTAGTTATAAATATCACAACTTTGGTAGAGAGACTTGCTGCTAATATCACGTCAACAGTTTCTCTAGCTAGATTTTGAGGAGAAAGAACGTTCTCAAAGATAAAAACAATTCCCATCAATTATCAAATTTTTCAAAACGTGAACGACCGCTCCAGGACGATGAACAAAAAAGTAACGACTGGTCTCTTGACTAACTCAGTGGATCAAGGTTCATATATGCATTAACCTCATTAAGGTTTTATATGATAAAGTTTATAACTTACACATTTGTCCGAAATTATTGTAGATATTTCTCTCTGTGTTTACTTTGTCCCCTGTAAGTAAGGTGCCGTTTGGCAATATGAAGTCGTTGTTTTTATCCCCATCAAAGTTTCCCATTAGACCACTAACGTTTCCCTTGTATTCCTCGCTAACCACGCTCTCACAGGTCAGAAATCCGACACCCTTACTGATCGTTACTGACACAGCTAAAACCACAAGTATATAAACATGATAAATAATATAAAAAAAAACTTTTTTTTTTCTTGGTTGAATTAAACGTTATAGAATCAGATGAATACGTACAGCTTTGTAAAAATGTAACCGTAACAGTTTCGTTTTCTCTCGAAATAGAAATATCCTCCGTAAGAAAAGAGAATTCTGGATCATTGTCGAATTCAATTGTCAGGTCGCGTCCATTTCCACGAATATACATTTCTGTAAATAAAATTTTCATAATGATTTAAGTATGAATTTTCAAAACCTCCATGAACATGATTATTTGATTTACTGTAATACTGACTATTTCTGTTTCTAGACAGTTCCACCTGGAAAGATGCATTGGACTGGTCTTTGGCTGCAAACGCACTGAAAATTGTGGCGTTGATTTTAGTTCCATTAGCAGAGAGGGCAAGATCAGTCCGCCCCTGGAGTTCAAACTGAGCACCCCCTACGTCAAACTTCATCATGGTGTATTCACCATAGCCGTTGAATGTGTATTGACCGCCGTCCAATGTTGCAATATGGGGGTCACCGAAAAACCGAGCTATGAAAGAAGAGTAAGAAATAATGTATATAAATTCTTGCATATACTTTAGATCACTGACTTTTCGCGACACCTTCTTTTCTCGAGATTGTTGTTCGGTTTTTATTAAAAAAAATTTCACGAATGTTGATTATTGCTGTATATAATTTCTACAGTAGAACTATACGCGAGAAAGTAATTTTTGCGAGCAGACTTTCTCAATTGCGCAAAAATAAAGTCCTCAAGAATAAACAATGATTTACAGTATATTGATAATCCAATTTGTTTTGAAGTAAATCATATAAACAAAAATAAAATGCTATATTTCAGGTGCTTCCGCATAGAAAAAGGGATAGGAAACTTATACCTGTCTATTCGAAAATAGACCAGTTGCTTATAATTGCAGAGTACTTACCAGGCCTAAATCGTGATCTGCGGAAACATCTAGTTCTGGGTCTGACTTCGTAGTACCAGTTACAGTGCCCAGAATTACAGCAGGTTTCCTTGGCATCAAAATCATTGATATAATACAGTCTTGTTCTGAAAAATGGACTGTATTCCAGTAGACTACCGGCATATGGAATGGCGTTTGTGCGGGCGCCACGGGGTCTTCCACGCCAATTCATGGAGTAGCAGCATTCCTACAGAAAGTATGTAAACAGAATATTGTACCATGGATTCTATTTTAAAACATTTTAATGCATGTTTCAAATAGCATAGTAGATTTAAAAAATAGCTTCAGAAAATGCTTTGTAAATGGATTTTTTCTATATACAAGTACATGTAATAGCATGTTTATATATTCCAAAAAAGTATCATTTTTGCATGTCTATTTAACATCTACTGAATCGGTATTGTATAAGAATAGTCTCAAACCAAAATATCAGCTGTTCTAAAGTCATTATGTTTAGCATTCTTATACAATGCAGAGCATTTTTATATATACCAATAAATTTAAACAAATAACATTTTTGTATCGTACCACTTCACTTAAATGTAACTTACAGCACTTTCAGGAGCAGTCATTGAAGCGTAGCAGATGAGGTTGTTCTGTAGGTCAACTCTATTGACCCTAAACCGGGGAGATAATCTCAGCAGACGACTGTTACATGGACACTGTAACCTACTCCACCACCTCAGACGTTTGAGACGTGTGTCCACTCCCCTCAGCTTGTTTTCTATGTACCAGTTAAAGCATTTTTTCTCCTCTGGATTTAAGGTCACCAGACTTGTCATCTTGTAAATCCAGAAACCATTCAGTTCTAGAAAAATAGATACTTATCCTTAGATTTATATCCCTCTTTTCCATTAAATTTTCATCAAAATATTTTCATTTATAATTGATAAATCAATTGTGTCAAACGAAAAAAAAATGATGATATACAGAATTACTAGTATTTTACACATGTGTACACCATATTACCAGTATTTCCTTGGATCGAACTCATTCTGAAAGCTCCATCTTGGTTGCTGTAGGAATTGCTAACGTAAAACCCTTTGTAACGGTATCCAATAGAAATCTTCAGGTTATTTTTAGGGATAATATCTACATCCATATAGTTGAATACTACAAAAGTATTTTCCCCGTCCGTGATCAAAAGACATTGGAAAGTTAATTTCTGTAAAAAGAAATACTTGTAAATTTCAATCTTTATCTTAAGTTTGATTCATTTTCAATTTTAGAACAAATTTAATCCATTTTTATTTTGCCCGTAGTTATCATTTTGTTCTGTCTGTCCTTTTGTTTGCGAAAACTTTAAATTCACATTTGGCCTTCTATTTTGAACCGTAGTAGGTTTTCAGGTTTAGCATGTCTATTATTCAAATATTAATGTACTTTCAGATGTAATCAGATCAAACCCAATTGTTTAAGCAGTAATTGATATCTATAGCGTTTCCGACCGTATATTCTTATGTTATTCTTAACTATGTATTTTTACAACAGCTTTTTTAAGCTTTCTCTTATAAAAGAAAATGGAGAAAACGAATTGTTTGCATGAAAAAAAAGAATATAAATTAAAATTTTATATTATTGTTGATTATGAATTAAATTGTGTTCAGCAAACACAGTTTGTTTATCAGTGACGTAGATTAACCTTTGAAGTATCAAACTTGATTATCTTGAACTTACTTTTGATTGATCACCGTATATATTCATCTTGTACCAGGTCGCTTTGACCACCCAGATCGAATCAAAGTTCGGATAATCTTTGAAATAAGTTTTCACGATGTTGTTAGCTCTGTCAAGTATTTTCTGGTCATTGTTACCACCTCTGTAATTAAACACAACATTTAATCTAATTAACCTACGAATATACTTGTAATTATGGTATTTCATTTCTGTAGCATAATAATTTTTATCTTCATTATAGATTTACTCTGTATTGATGAATCATCAAATGTATCTGTCCTTACTTGTTGTAACCTCTGTAGTAAACTTTCCCATCCTCTACATTCATGTTTGAGTTCCCTATCAGATCGGCCCAATATGGACATAGGATTTTCCGCCTACTTGTTCTAGAGGAAGAAAGATCCCGAACAGAGATGCTGTTGTATCTTTCACCTAATCCTATTATTCCGTTCGTTCCAATCTAAAAAAGAAATCGATAAAATGTACAAAACTTGTATTCTACTTCAATTATTGCCATCATCCAGATGTCTCCTTATTCATTTAGCACTATATCATAATCACTTTTGTTCATCAATAAAGGGATATGTGAATTTGAAAAAAAACGCAACCTGTACGGAGGTAAATATTCCCGCTGTGCCATCACCAACGAAAACTCCTGTAGGAGCAGACAAAGTCTGGCCAATTCTGTCATCCCCAGTCAGAATAAAGTCTGATTCGGCAGATCCGAATGGCAAAGGTTCTGTGAAAAATTGTTGAAATTTATGTATAAATTTATAAGTATTACTTTTGTTTCATTATATAACGCATGAAGAGAGAACTAGAAAAAGCAATACATGACAATATATAGTAAGGAATAAACAAATATGAATATATTAAAACCTGTTTCGTTTACCGTTTACATTTGTAACTGCTTCAGTAGTACTTTTTGCCGCCTCAGTAGTTGACACTTTTGGAGCCTCGGTGGTAGTAAGTGCTTCTGTTGTTATTGCAGCCTCAGTTGTTGTTACAGCCTCAGTTGTTTTAGCAGGTTCAGAAGTAGTTACTGCTTCAGTTGTTGTAGCAGGCTGAGGAGAGGTTAATGCTTCAGAAGTTGTTGCAGCTTCAGATGTTGTAGCAGCTTGAGTAGTGGTTGCAGTTTGCATTGTTGTTGCAGCATCAGTTGCAGCATTAGTCATTGTTACAGTCTGTGTTGTTGTTGCAGATTCAGTTGTTGTAACAGTTTCAGTTGTTGTTGCCGCTTGCATAGTGGTTGCAGATTCAGTTGTTACAGCTTGAGTATTTGTTAACGTTTCAGTTGTTGTTGCAGCTTCGGTTGACATACTAGTCGTTGTGACTACCTCAAATGTTGTTGCAGTTATGGTTGTAGGAGGTTGTGTTGTGGTAATTCCTTCAGTTGTTGTTTCACTTTCAGTTGTTGCACTTTGAGTAGTAGTAGCTGTTTCAGTTGTGGTTTCTGCATCGGTTGTTGCAGTTTCAGTTGTTGCAGCTTGAGTTGTGGTAACAGCATCAGTCGTAGTTACTGTCTCAGTTGTTGTTGCAGTTTCTGTTGTAAGAGGTTGAGTTGTCGTCACTGCCTGTGAAGTTGTTGTAGGTTCAGTTGTTACAGCTTGAGTAATAGTAACTGTTTCAGTTGTAGTTGCTGCTTCAGTTGTTGTTGCAGCCTCAGTTGTGGTAACAGCGTCAGTCGTCGTTACTGCATCAGTTGTTGTTGCAGGTTCTGTTGTAGAAGGTTGGGTTGTGGTAATTCCTTCAGTTGTTGTTTCACTTTCAGTTGTTGCACTTTGAGTAGTAGTACCTATTTCAGTTGTGGTTGCTGTATCAGTTAATGTTGCAGTTTCAGTTGTTGCAGCTTGAGTTGTGGTAACAGTGTCAGTCGAAGTTATTGTCTCTGTTGTTGATACAGGTTCTGTTGTTATAGCTTGAGTTGTGGTAACTGCTTCAGTTGTTGTTTCAGTCTGAGTTGTTGCAGCTTGAGTTGTTGCAGCTTGAGTAGCGGTAACTGTTTCAGTTGTTGTTTCTGCAATTGTTGTTGTTGCAGATTCAGTTGTTATTACTTGAGTTGTTGTAGTAGTGGCTGTTTCCGTCGTGGTTACTGCATCAGTTGTTGTTGTAGTAGATTCTGTTGTTGCAGGTTGAGTAGCAGTTACTGTTTCAGTCTGAGCCTGAGTTGTGGTTATTCCTTCAGTTGTTGTCGCAGGTTCAGTTGTTGCAGCTTGAGTTGTAGTAACAACATCAGTAGTAGTTATTACTTCAGTTGTTGTAGCAGCTTCTGTTGTTGCAGATTGAGTAGTAGAGGCTGTTTCCGTCGTGGTTGCTGCATCAGTTGTTGTTGCAGCCAGAGTTGTGGTTGTGGTAATTCCCTCAGTTGTTGTTGCAGCTTGATTTGTTGCAGCTTGAGTAGTAGTAACTGTTTCAGCTGTGGTTGATGCATCAGTTGCAGCTTCAGTTGTTGCAGGTTGATTTGATGTAACAGCGTCAGTAGAAGTTACGACTTCAGTTGTTGTAGCAGGTTCTGTTGTTGCAGATTGAGTAGAAGTGGCTGTTTCCGTCGTGATTGCTGCATCAGTTGTTGTTGCAGCTTGAGTCGTGGTAATTCCTTTAGTTGTTGCAGGTTCAGTTGTTGCAGCTTGAGATGTGGTAGCACTATCAGTCGATGTTACTGCCTCAGTTGTTGTTGCAGAATCTGTTGTAGTAACTTGAGTTGTCGTCATTTCCTGTGTAGTTGTTGCAGGTTCAGTTGTTACAGCTTGAGCAGTAGTAACTGTTTCAGTCATAGTTGCTGCTTCAGTTGTTGTTGCAGCTTCATTTGTGGTAACAGCGTCAGTCGGCGTTACTGCGTCAGTTGTTGTTGCAGGTTCTGTTGTAGGAGCTTGAGTTGTGGTAATTCCTTCAGTTGTTGTTTCACTTTCAGTTGTTCCAGATTGAGTAGTAGTAGCTGTTTCAGTTGTGGTTTCTACATCAGTTGTTGTTGCAGCTTGAGTTGTAGTAACAGCATCAGTCGTAGTTATTACTGCAGTTGTTGTAGCAGTTTCTGTTGTTGCAGATTGAGTAGAAGTGGCTGTTTCCGTCGTGGTTGCTGCATCAGTTGTTGTTGCAACCTGAGGTGTGGTTATTCCTTCAGTTGTTGTTGCAGGTTCAGTTGTTGCAGCTTGATTAGTAGTAACTGTTTCAGTTGTGGTTGCTGCATCAGTTGCAGCTTCAGTTGTTGCAGGTTGAGTTGTTGTAATAGCGTCAGTAGTAGTTACAACTTCAGTTGTTGTAGCACGTTCTGTTGTTGCAGGTTGAGTAGTTGTAGCTGTTTCCGTCGTGCTTGCTGCATCAGTTGTTGTTGTAGCAGGGTCTGTTGTTGCAGATTGAGTAGTAGTGGCTGTTTCCGTCGTGGTTGCTGCATCAGTTGTTGTTGCAGCTTGAGGTGTGGTAATTCCTTCAGTTGTTGCAGGTTCAGTTGTTGCAGCTTGAGATGTGGTAGCACTATCAGTCGATGTTATTGCCTCAGTTGTTGTTGCAGATTCTGTTGTAGTAGCTTGAGTTGTCGTCACTTCCTGTGTAGTTGTTACAGGTTCAGTCGTTACAGCTTGAGTAGTAGTAGTTGTTTCAGTCGTAGTTGCGGCTTCAGTTGTTGTTGCAGCTTCAGTTGTGGTAACAGCGTCAGTTGTCGTTACTGCATCAGTTGTCGTTGCAGGTTCTGTTGTAGGAGCTTGGGTTGTGGTAATTCTTTCAGTTGTTTTTGCAGGTTCAGTTGTTGCAGCTTGAGTTGTGGTAACAGCATCAGTCGTAGTTATTGTCTCAGTTGTTGTTGCAGTTTCTGTTGTAAGAGGTTGAGTTGTCGTCACTTTCTGGGTAGTTGTTGCAGGTTCGGTTGTTACAGATTGAGTAGTAGTAGCTGTTTCAGTAGTAGTTGCTGCTTCAGTTGTTGTTGCAGTTTCAGTTGTGGTAACAGCGTCAGTCGTCGTTACTGCATCAGTTGTTGTTGCAGGTTCTGTTGTAGGAGCTTGAGTTGTCGTCACTTCCTGTGTAGTTGTTGTTGCAGGTTCAGTTGTTGCAGCTCGAGTAGTAGTAGCTGTATCAGTTGTGGTTTCTGCATCAGTTGTTGTTGCAGATTCAGTTGTTGCAGCTTGAGATATAATAACAGCATCAGTCGTAGTTACTGTCTCAGTTGTTGTTGCAGTTTCTGTTGTAAGAGGTTGGGTTGTCGTTACTGCCTGTGTAGTTGTTACAGTTTCAGTATTTACAGCTTGAGTAGTAGTAGCTGTTTCAGTCGTAGTTGCGACTTCAGTTGTTGTTGCAGTTTCAGTTGTGGTAACAGCGTCAATCGTCGTTAAAGCATCAGTTGTTGTTGCAGTTTCTGTTGAAGGAGGTTGAGTTGTGGTAATTCCTTCAGTTGTTGTAGCAGGTTCAGTTGTTGCAGCTTGAGTATTAGTAGCTGTTTCAGTTGTTGCTGCATCAGTTGTTGTTGCAGCTTCAGTTGTTGTTGCAGCTTCAGTTGTTGTTGCAGCTTCAGTTGTTGCAGGTTGTGTTGTAAGAGCGTCAGTAGTAGTTACGGCTTCAGTTGTTTTTTTAGGTTCAGTTGTTGTTGCAGCTTGAGTAGTAGTAACTGTTTCAGATGTGGTTGCTGCATCAGTTGTTGCAGGTTCAGTTGTTGTAACAGCGTCAGTAGTAGTTACGGCTTCAGTTGTAGCAGGTTCTGTTGTTGCAGGTTGAGTAGTAGTGGCTGTTTCCATCGTGGTTGCTGCATTAGTTGTTGTTGCAGTCTGAGTAGTGGTAATTCCCTCAGTTGTTGTTACAGGTTCAGTTGTTTCAGCTTGAGTAGTAGTAACTTTTTCAGTTGTGGTCGCTGCATCAGTTGCAGCTTCGGTTGTTGCAGATTGAGTTGTGGTTACAGCGTCAGTCGTCGTTACTGCATCAGTTGTTGTTGCAGTTTCTGTTGTAAGAGGTTGAGTTGTCGTCACTTCTTGGGTAGTTGTTGCAGGTTCGGTTGTTACAGATTGAGTAGTAGTAGCTGTTTCAGTTGTAGTTGCTGCTTCAGTTGTTGTTGCAGCTTCAGTTGTGGTAACAGCATCAGTCGTCGTTAATGCATAAGTTGTTGTGGCACGTTCCGTTGTAGGAGCTTGGGTTGTGGTAATTCCTTCAGTTGTTGTTTCACTTTCAGTTGTTGCACTTTGAGTAGTTGTAGCTGTTTCAGTTGTGGTTTCTGCATCGGTTGTTGTTGCAGTTTCAGTTGTTGCAGCTTGAGTTGTGGTAACAGCATCAGTCGTAGTTATTGTCTCAGTTGTTGTTGCAGATTCTGTCGTAAGAGGTTGAGTTGTCGTCACTTCCTGGGTAGTTGTTGCAGGTTCGGTTGTTACAGATTGAGTAGTAGTAGCTGTTTCAGTAGTAGTTGCTGCTTCAGTTGTTGTTGCAGTTTCAGTTGTGGTAACAGCGTCAGTCGTCGTTACTGCATCAGTTGTTGTTGCAGTTTCTGTTGTAAGAGGTTGAGTTGTCGTCACTTCTTGGGTAGTTGTTGCAGGTTCGGTTGTTACAGATTGAGTAGTAGTAGCTGTTTCAGTTGTAGTTGCTGCTTCAGTTGTTGTTGCAGTTTCAGTTGTGGTAACAGCATCAGTCGTCGTTAATGCATAAGTTGTTGTGGCACGTTCCGTTGTAGGAGCTTGGGTTGTGGTAATTCCTTCAGTTGTTGTTTCACTTTCAGTTGTTGCACTTTGAGTAGTAGTAGTAGCTGTTTCAGTTGTGGTTTCTGCATCGGTTGTTGTTGCAGTTTCAGTTGTTGCAGCTTGAGTTGTGGTAACAGCATCAGTCGTAGTTATTGTCTCAGTTGTTGTTGCAGTTTCTGTTGTAAGAGGTTGAGTTGTCGTCACTTCCTGGGTAGTTGTTGCAGGTTTGGTTGTTACAGATTGAGTAGTAGTAGCTGTTTCAGTAGTAGTTGCTGCTTCAGTTGTTGTTGCAGTTTCAGTTGTGGTAACAGCGTCAGTTGTCGTTACTGCATAAGTTGTTGTGGCAGGTTCCGTTGTAGGAGCTTGGGTTGTGGTAATTCCTTCAGTTGTTGCACTTTGAGTAGTAGTAGCTCTTTCAGTTGTGGTTTCTGCATCGGTTGTTGTTGCAGTTTCAGTTGTTGCAGCTTGAGTTGTGGTAACAGCATCAGTCGTAGTTACTGTCTCAGTTGTTGTTGCAGTTTCTGTTGTAAGAGGTTGAATTGTCGTCACTTCCTGGGTAGTTGTTGCAGGTTCGGTTGTTAAAAATTGAGTAGTAGTAGCTGTTTCAGTTGTAGTTGCTGCTTCAGTTGTTGTTGCAGTTGTGGTAACAGCATCAGTCGTCGTTACTTCATCAGTTGTTGTGGCATGTTCCGTTGTAGGAGCTTGGGTTGTGGTAATTCCTTCAGTTGTTGTTTCACTTTCAGTTGTTGCACTTTGAGTAGTAGTAGCTGTTTCAGTTGTGGTTTCTGCATCAGTTGTTGTTGCAGTTGCAGTTGTTGCAGCTTGAGTTGTGGTAACAGTGTCAGTCGAAGTTATTGTCTCTGTTGTTGATACAGGTTCCGTTGTTATAGCTTGAGTTGTGGTAACTGCTTCAGTTGTTGTTTCAGTCTCAGTTGTTGCAGCTTGAGTTGTTGCAGCTTGAGTAGCGGTAACTGTTTCAGTTGTTGTTTCTGCAATTGTTGTTGTTGCAGATTCAGTTGTTATTACTTGAGTTGTGGTAACTGCTTCATTTGTGGTCGCAGTTTCAGTTGTTGTTGCTTGAATATTGGTAACTGTTTCAGTCGTTGATGCTGCTTCAGCTGTTGTTGCAGCTTCTGTAGTAACAGTTTGGGTTGTGGTAACTGCTTCAGTTGTTGTTTCAGCTTGAGTTGTGGTCACTGCCTCAGACGTGGTAACTGCTTCAGTTGTTGTTCCAGCTTCAGTTGTTGCAGCTTCAGTTGTGGTATCAGCGTCAGTTGTTGTTTCAGCCTCAGTTGTTGTTGCATCTGCCGTTGTAACATTCAGTGTTTCAGCTGTGGTTGCAGCTTCAGATGTAACTGTCAACGTTGTCACGCCTTCAGTAGTTATAGATTCGGTTGTTAATGCATCTGTGGTGGTAGAACTTGTTATTTCTTGAGGTAGATATAAAAGGAATAAGGCCAAAAGAAAAGATGTCCTCATTTTCTGTAAACAATAAATAAAATCATTACAAATATCAGTTATGGATATTCTATTTATAACCGAAAGTATTAAAAAAGTGACCCGTTTTCTTGCTTGCACAAAGGCCATTCGATCAAAACAGTTCTTTTTGGAGGAGGATACATCCGCGGATACAGAATTTTTTTCCAGAGATGGGGGTTTGGTTTATACCTACTATAACCCCCAACCCTAAACTTGTCTAAAAGCAAAAACCTATTTCGGGGGGTGGGGAGGCAAGTGACTTTTCTTACCATTTTACTAGGTGTCCTTGTTTTCTAGGGGTCCGTGTTTTCTAAAATGGGGGACGGTTCAGATATTTTTTTTTCTTACTTTACTAAACAAATAAGAAAATTCCGGAAGGGGGTAGTCCGGACCCCTTAACCCCCATCCCCACCCGCTGGATCCGCGCATGGGATTTTTTTTTTCATTCAACGTAATTTATTCTAAATGATTTTGAATGCAGTAGATGAATGTACAAGTAGGTTTAACAACTACTGTGTTTGGTTGTTTTTGTCTCACTGTGTGGTCTTGTGCGGTTATGAGTATTTACAACGTGGCTTAAGAAGGAATATAAGTTGCTTATTAATATCCTAATCTTATTTTTAACACTTCAACGCGGACTTTATTCTGAATTGTTCAGACAATATTTAATCTGTGTCAATTCCCATGTGTCAGGAATCTTACACATGAAGATATGGCAAGATAACTATGAACTTTAAATATACATAGATCTTATGAGAAGGTCTACGAAACATGACAAAATGTCTTAAATTGTCTGTAAGTTATTCCAATTAATAGAAAATTATCGGGTACTATGAAACCCTAAATTATTTTGAACAATATATGTGAATGAACATATGCAGGTAGTATGTGCTATAAGGGAATTGACAAAGATATATTCTTTCATTGTTAAGAGTTTAGCATATCACCTGGCCCCGGGATCATGAAACATCTTAAGCTTACATGTATAAGTCAAAATCTTTATGTTTTACTACGATATTGTAGAAGTCAAGCAGACCAAAATTAAAATATTTTTTCAATATTGCTTTACAAAAGTGTTGTTATTTGTAAATTTAGAGATTAATCCAATAATTAATGAGGATTTTACTTGCGATTGAAAATTTGACTTAAGTCTAAGTTTGTTTCATGATTCTGGGGCCTGGAGAGTTAAAAATTAAAAATATCTGTTTCTTTCGACGTAATCAGCATACTGGGAATTAAATAAAGCAAGCATTTACTGAGCATATTTATTAATACTTGGCTATGCAAATCTGAGACAGTTTCAAAGATTTCTGGATCATGAAGAGTCTCGATTAAACATCGATTTAACAGACCCGTATTTTCAGCTATGGACGGGGGAAAGGGGGGAGCACATACAACCTAAGATATTCTTCACAAGCATAGAAAGGTCATGAGACTTATTTATTAAGCTATATATTGGCAAAATTGTTGAGGAGGCACAACTGTTAACTACTATAATAGTATCTTTGTTTTATATAGAAAAATATATACTGGTAAAATTATTGGGGCACCACACCCCCTCCTCGATCTTATATTACGGGTCTGTATAACTTCGTCATCTGGATACCTTCACGTTTCCTCTATCTGCACTTTGTACTAAATAAATATTTCTATTGATCTTTGTGTGTCCCTCAGAAACCAAATACAGACTATTTTATTCTAAAGTATTCCATCCTGCTGCCTCTAATATTTTGAATGAAATCTGTCTTAAAAACAAAATAAAATGGTTAGCTTGTGAATTAAAAAGGACTCTACGACGAAAATTATTTCATTATTTTTATCTTCGATTTAATAAAAGGTTGAGATTACATACTTTTATAGTCACCCGTTAAAAGGTATAGAAATGTATTGCTTAATTAAGGTATAGTAATAAAATGAAAATCAATATCTAAAAGTTTATTTTTTTTTCTCGTGAGAATGTCGTTATCAGTCATTTTCACTTCCATGAATCGCAAGTTGAACCAAATAGATGACCAATTTTTAATCGTTCACGAAATATCTAAACTAAAACAAAAAACGTGGTATGTTTTAAAGTGCAAGGGAACAGGGTTCAACGGTTTTCTGAAAGTACATTAAAATGACGGTACGTCCCTTGTTAAAGCTTTTTTTTTTTATTATATCCTATAATCTGATGGCAAATAGTAATAATTCCTGTAAATTTATTGTTAAGATTTCAGATAATAATCTGTACCCATTAACTTCTGTCCATTTCTGGCGGGGTTTGTAGGGATTTTTTTTCCCATTACAGATAAATTGTCTATGTTTATCTTATACGTATATACATATCATGCTTGAGTACAATGTAAACGAAATATACGCCCAAATACCGTAAATATATAGGATGCTTGGTTTCTTTTATTAAGAACAATCAGCATTGAAATTGTTTTGTTGGGAAAAAAAATAATTTGGATTCTTTTCCTTTTTTTCTTTTCAATAACACATTACAATGCTGGGTTAGATTTATAGTAGTTTATGCCTTTAAGCGTTCAATAAAAAAAAAACTTTTATTGGGTTTTCAATTGACATGATTTTAATTATACCTGAAAAATATCACGTAATCCTTTAAATTGGTTTTAAAAGATTTTTAAGACGTCGCATCTCAAACTAAACTTTTCTGAAATAAAGTATCCTTAGACTTGAACGAGTGCATTTTGCACCGTTTATTTTGATTAACACTGTGATGGTTATAAACTATATTGTAAGATCATGCCATCTGGGAGATGTCATAAATTTCTATTGTAAGATTCTGTGTTAGATATGCTCGATATCAGTAAAGAAATTATGCAGTCAGTTTAACTTAAAAAATTTAATCCAGTCCTTTTTTTTCTTTATATATCCTTTTTAAAATTGATGAAATGTAAAAATAAAATTGCTATCGTGAATTTTCTCTTTCAAGCTATCGATATGTCTATATCAGCCTTTGTCTTCTAGAATTCCATCCGGAATTTTTAATCCTTAATAAATAACCTGCATACTATAAAAATCGCTACACGAGATATCCCAAGACTTGTCTGACAGAGGGTAATGTTTCAAAGGGACAATCTGTGTAAAGGAACTTTACAAACTGGTAAATTCATGAAAAATTTCACGGTAATTAACACAATTTATTACATAAAAGGTGTATTGTAAATCGTTGTTCTACCGATAGAACTATTCCTGTAGGAGAAGTTGAAATTTAACGGCAGAGACCCAGAACGGACTGTTAAGTGGCCAAATGCAATTAAACAGAAATTTTGGCAGAATTGCATTGTTAAGAAGTGGTCCTTATAATGTGACGCTATGAGAACAGGTATATAATTTTGTTCAGCGTGTTTTCAGTTTGTCATCACAGAGCTAAAATCTCATTGAATGGCAGTCCACACTTATTAGGATGGTCTTTTAATAACAGTGAATTTGTATAACTTGTTTTAAATTGCTCTTGACAGACTCTACCCACATGAATGGATACCGCAAAAATTTTAAAATTCCTCTAGCAAATCAAACATTTTATTTTTCTATTCATAAAAAATCTATACATTAATTACAAGGAAGGTGGATTGTGTATAAGGCTTACACCAACTGAAGTACAAGTTTACTTCTTTTTTAACTTTATAAGTAGATGTATTATTTTCATGCACATTGTAATGTAGATGCCTTTAAGAGTTGTAAGTTTCCTGATCCAGCTTCATAGTTCTAAAGGGATTTTTAATATTCCTTTGAACCATAATGATCTATTTGAAATATATTTATTCATTTTCTTGAGGAAAAATGCTGATTTGCTCGCACACGTAAACGACCATAGTTTTAGTACATAGTACTGGCATGGAGATATCTGTCCAAATGACCTATCTGTATCATCTGTATAGCAATTCAAGAATTGGTTTCAGACAGTGAATATTTCCTTTTTTATGATGATGATGGCTTTTTGCAATCTACACGTTTTTCGAACGGCAAATTCTGGGTTTTTAAATCATCAGTAAGTTAAGGATATGACAATCCATTAATGCCAAAAAAGTAAGCAAGTAATGAAGATTTCTATATATGAGTTGTCAGCATCTGTTCAACAATTTGTTAATTGATAAATTAAATCGAATAAATATTTTGCTGCATCTTGGATGACTATGTCAAGATTACTTCAACAGCTGTTTAAAGTAAAGGCTTAAACTGAAAGACAGCGTTAATTAAGTCTGGTATGATTTCCTTTTGTTGTCGCATCCCCTGAATAATGAATAATATCATCTGTACCCAGACGCTATTGAATGTGTCCAGTCATAGTGTTTGATAAATTCAGGAACATTTTTATATTGAGGGATCAATAGCCAGGCATTTATGGCGGTTTTACCGCCGAATATCTCAATATCCTCCAGAAAGCAAATCCCGGAATTAAGGTACAGAATATAGCCATTGTAAGGGTCAGTAAAGAATTGCTAGGTAGTTTAGTCCCGTACAGACCAGTTAGACCTTAACTACTTCGTATACCTCATAAAATATTATGAAAATTCAAAGATCAATGCAATCGAATTTGAGACATTCCGTACACATTCTTTTCCTTTCAGAATATCAATAAGATAAAACATTCCTTAATGCAAATTATAAATTGAAATAATCATATGGCTTACCTTATTTCAATGATAAAATTCCATTTAAAATAAAAATTCAATTATAATTCCTAATTTTTAAAAATAATGCGAAATTTCGAGTTAAATCCGAAAAAAAAAAAATCAATATTCCGTTATAATCCACATTTGTCTTTTAGACACATAAGTTTCCGAAAAAATTAAAAGTGAAACACTTGCAAAGACTGACAGATCCTCTTGATATTAAAGTACGATACAGGTTTGATCAAAGAAGTCCAGCAGTTCTTAAAAAAATGTTGTAAGAGGACAGTGGGGCCCTCCAGGGGGTACCCAGTAATTAGTTACGAGGCTTAATAAGTAGCCGTTTGAATTATTTATGTTCAGGAATTCTGAAGTCCTGTTATT